TTTTGTTTTTTTTTTTTGTGTGGGGGGGGGGGGGGGGGGGGGGGGGGGGATGAATGGCCCATTCAAATTTTTAACTGAAAATTTTTTAAAGTAATGTTTTTTTTGGGTGCTCCTAGATCCGGCCCTACCATAAAATGTATGATTGAAAATGAATTTGGAGAAATATGAGTTTTGAAAATTGGGGGCCAAACAGGGTAAAGGTAACTAAAGAATGTTTGGTTACATCTTTAAAAGGCAGAGTCATGAGAATGAGATGTGCAAGTAAAGTAATGATCGATGAAACGCTCTAAATGTGAATATTTAAACAAACTTGATTTGGTACTTTAAGTATCTCACAGAGGTGATGAAAGAACGGCTTAATCACTAACAAGTTCATAGTTCCAGAAATGAAAGAAGCAGCCAATCACCTTGAGAAACTGATAAAAGAATTAGCGATTTGACTCCATTGATGCCAATCAGGAAATTACAAAATAACCCTCACTTGATCCACTCATTCAAGGTCAGGTGCCCCGTGATGAAAATACATTTTCTTGGCAAGGAACAGTATCATCAACATAACCTTGCAAGAACAACTGGATTATCTGAACTCAGCTAGTCAAAAATGAAACCTTTAACTTCACAATCTCACAGAACTTTAACTCCATTTCCTAGAGAGAACTCCCAAATAGTGAAAGACGGACGAACCAACAAACAAGTCCACAAACTAACCACCTGGACCAATATTAGCTTCTCCAATCACAAGAGAATGATTTTGTTTTCTAATATCCAACTCTTCATAGAATCATTTTTGAGGGACAGATATGCTCTACCAAAAGGACTCGATCACAGCACGGAAGAAAACGAACAAGTTAAAATCAACTCCTTTAGCTCATACTATTCCTATATTGGCATATAATCTACGACAACTGATAAAATCATCTGCTTGGGCCTTGGATGTCATGCCCATCTAGAATTACATAACTGCACTTAAATCAATTAAGAGCACTGCTATGTGAAACCTGGGTTTGCCAATTAAGGCTTAATCTACATGTTTTATTAAGTCAGAAAATGCTTTCGCTTCGCCGTCAAGTTATTTTAATACACAACCATAGCTAATTTCCATTGGTTCATTCTCAATATTGGTTCATTCTCAATAACGTGGCAATTAGTTGCTGATCTTGTAAAACCTTTAACTACCACCAAAATAAAGCTATTGAGCAAACTATCCCAGTATGTGCACACTTGATTACATTTCAAAAGTTCTGCAAAAGTCCCAAGTGCTTGTAGCCCACTAAGTTTTGACTACAATAAAGTTCCATTGTTCAATTCTAAGTAAGTGTATCCATTTTGTTTTTCTTCTAACAAAAGCTTTAATACAGACAGATTATGGTCTTCTAGGCTTCACTAATAAAACATCCTAATATGAACATATTTATTACTCTTTCTTACACCCTTCAATCCATCAATCAATCCACACTACATCTTGCTCAAGTGGTAGAAACAACATTGTGAGACTGATATCCAGACAATGAAATATAATGCCTCATGGTTTTCTTAGAATCCAATTTCTGCAATAAATTAACATCCTGTTTGACCCCCATTATTTGGTATTATAATTTTTGGAATAGCATTTTTTTGGAGAATGTGTAGTTGAAAAGGAAGGAAAAGATTTTGGTTTACGTGTAATATTATTTTATGAAAAATTGTGTGATTGAAAGTAAGATAGAGAAATTATAATGGGAAATAATGGAGGCCAAATGGGGGCTAAATGAAAATGCAAGTTGGGTAGTCGCATTTACTTGGTGAAGTCCTGATAAACAAGGGGGAAAGAAGGCAACAAATTTTTTTTGAATTCTTTATCTTCTTTCATGTATACGTAATTTCTAAAGGCTGAGAAACTAGATAAACAAAGCTCAAAGGCCATTCATGCACCAAAAACTCGGTTTTAATTATCTTAAAAAACCTGATGAAATACACATCATCAGTATTCATATTCACTGGAACAGGACAACCACACATTGAATCCATGAGCATGTTTGGCTAAGTTCTAACAAAAGTACTTTCTCAAAAAGAGAGCAGAGACTTTTATAAAGTAAGCTTTATACTAAAAAATCCAAAAAAAGAAAGGAAAATTAACTTTTAATAAAGCTCAAACATGTGTAAGAATAAAAAAGTTTTACCTAGAAGTAAATTTTAGGCTTAGCAAGCATGCTCAAGTATGTTACCCAGTTAAACATAACCATGATTTCACTGGTAAAAGTTTCTCGATGAAAGTCAACATATAGCAAAGTAACAACAATTGAAACTAATGGTGCATTAACTTTACCAAATATCCCAAATGATATTTCCGCCTAATATGTCTTCGTTTGCTAAATGATTATTAAACCATTTAACCAATTATTTTTCTTATATATTTTACTTGATGGATGCTTAAGTGTGTAAAGGCAAAACTATTCTAACATAGCAACAAGAAAATTCAACAAAAAATGCAATGTCTGCAACTAAACAGAGAACAGTATTGCATGTGACGAGGACAAGTATTTAGCTTCGTTACCATTAGTATTTTTCATACTAGTCAATCCAATGTACCAAACATACATGCTTTGAAGTTTAAACGAATCGAATGATAATCGATGTAAATTACTTGAGAACCATCCCAAAGCTGACCCCAATAAACACTGCCAAATCCACCTTCTCCGAGCTTGTTGTCGTAGTTAAAATTGTTTGTGGCCAATTGCAATTCCTTCAGAGAAAAAACCCTCCATGTAAGCTCCTTCTTCCCTTGTTTTTTCCTGTACAAATTCACAAGTACATAATATTTAACTACATTTCCAACAATAGAATTAACCCCCATACACCTATGAAATAAAAAAACCTCACAAATTAATCTTTCCTATAAAATTCAAGTAGCCAAATAGTAAAAGTTTAAGAATGAAAACTATACATAGTTTCAAAAGAAGGTAGCTTTTAAGCTAATTTTAAGCACAACCAAACACATTAAACTATCTTGATTGCTCTTCTAAATGTTTACCCAGCCCAAGTAAAATAGAAAAACACTAAAAAAGCATTACTCGTCAATCAAACAGTGAATTTTGCCTTGATAATCCCACAAAAATGCTACTAATGCACATCAAATAAAGCAGAATTAAGCAAGAAGGTTAGGTAATTTCAAGAATTTCAAAAAACAAGAAAATAAGCATTGACCAAATGGAAAAAATGAAGCACTTACCGATCCGAACCCTTGACGCAACAAAACGTGGTGAAAAAATTCATAATATTTCCAAACAGCCCACCTCACTTCCTACGAAATTTCACTTGTAATTCTACCACATATTCACAAATTAACACAAATCCTTCGCTTCAAAATCTCTCTTCAACTCTTTTTTACTTCTCGAAACTTCTTAAAAGTATAATAGAGAAGAATCTTGGCAAAATAGGGACCCTTTTTGGTTGCCAAACAGACCCTAGTCGTGGAAAATACTTTAGTAATGGTTTCTTGAAGAGAAGATTGATGATCGAGTAATCCGATTGACAAAGCATATCAGAATAAACTATAAAGAGCTGAACGATATAAGAGAATATTTATGCGAAATGTAAAGGTGATTGGATGTGGGCCCAATTGGGCGCCGCTGATATTGGAATATTGGTTATGACAGTGGCGTGTCTGGGTCACTGTCTGTAACGTATGTCTCTGCTAACCTTGGACTTTCTGTGTATATTTGTCCGCTCGTTGGATTTCAGACTCCCAATTTTCGTACCCATACATAATTGGATGTAGACTTCCTTTATCTGCCACTAGTCGTTCTCAGTGTCTAGAGGAAATTAAAATTAGATTTTTAACAAAATTTAATAAAAATTGATTAAATATATAGTTGAAGAATTATAAAACCTATAAAATGTGATATTAAAATTAATTATTGACTTTAACTAAATTTTAATCAATAGCAAACAATGGCTAAGACTTTTGAAAAGTCAAAATAAAATTTTGAGAGTAAGAAATCATTTTTGAATATTTTTAGGAAAAAGGTAATTTGTCTACTAGAAGAATTTTTAGAGAAATTTGACATTTGATAATTTTCTCATAAAATTATTCTACAAAAAGTAAAAATTCCATGAAACGAGATCTTAAATGTGTAAAATAGGTTGAATCTAGTTTGACGATTGATATGGCAAGTTTTGGTTATGCCCGAACATTTTATCCCGAGGACTTTTCTCATAAACCCTTGCGATTCCACATCTGTTTTGCTCGAGCATTAACCCTCCGCAGGATATAATGCTCGAATACTTACAACGTTGCTGTATCCACATTTACATGATCCTGTCCTCGAGCAAGAGTAGTCCTCGGGATAGATTCTCCTTGCAGCTCACGATTGTTATTACTGACCCAATAGGACTCCTATGTAATTGGGACTCTAACTCTACTACATTACTTCAATACTTGACTCCCACAAGGATTCTGTTCCAAAAATAATTATGGCATTGGTCCAACTCCTTCACCTAATAGGACTCCGTTGGATAGAGATACCCAACTAGTTGAGTCTCACTAGGAGAATGTCACCTACTACTATAAATACAAAACCATGGACCATTATTCAGGTACGTTTTCATTATTTCCAATTTATAGCCTCACGCACATAATTCGCTCTCTGACTTCAATATCGGAAGGGCGACAAGAACATGTTTCGTTGCCTTTGTTCCAAATACCGGAAAACAACGATCGTGCTCGTTCAAAGTCCTCAAGCTCTAGAAATCAACAGATACGATTTTTTTTTTTTAGCATCAACGTTCATTGTATAGATTTCACATAGTAGTATTACACAATTAGAGACCTAATTAATCTAAAAGAAAATGAGGCTTGACATCGTCATAGAACTTATTAAAACTCTCTATAGACCGACTCAATTGCTAGGGCACGAGTGGTTATGTATATAAATATTTTTTTGGATTGAATAGTGCAAACAATCTATTTTGAAATTCATGAAAAATAAAGATTAATTTACTTTCGTAAAATATTGAAAAGTGAATTATCGAAAAAACAAATAAATAAATAAATAAAGTCCTTACTAAGGGTTTGTTTGGTATGATTTTTATTTATGCTTATGCTTATTACAGAGGAGCTTAGTGAAGAATTAATCTAAGATAGTTTTCTTTAATTCTTCTAATCAAACAAAATATTTTTAAAAAAATATTCAAATATATTCAAATACCTTCTTAATTTTATAAATAATTTTTTATTTCTCATAAGTCCAATCAAATGAGCGTAAGAACTAATTAGAAATAATTGATTCATAAAAGAACAATCTTTAATAATCGTTTGGGTTTTCTCTAGTGGGAGATCATGAAGACTATATATATATATATATATATATATATAATTTGGGGTGGAATGGCAGTTGAACCACTTCGCCTGGCCAATGTTCACGAACCTGGTTGTAATCATGAGTGGAAATTGGATTCTTCTGTAGCTGAAGCAATTATGTATTCAAATTTCTTTGAAGTAATAATGATATTTATATTTGAATGACCATGACCTAATTAATAGAATCAACGAAGGGAAGTACACGATAAATTTTTTAAGCTGTTGTATATCTATTTTTTAAAGAACTTAGGCCCCGTTTGATTACACGAAATTTTTCATGGAACTTGGAATTCGAATTCCAACTTCCACTTTTGGCCTGTTTGATTGACAAAATTTTCCAGGGAATTGATTTTCCATGAATTTCTAGGTACAACACCTTAAAGTGTGATTTTCCACCTTTTTTTTCCTAGGGGATAGGTGGTTTTTGGTTTTCCACCTTATTTTTATTTTATTTTTTTTTGTTTTTTTTATTTTTTTTTAATTGTTGGCAATGGGAACAAATTTTAGGAATAATTGTAAAAGAGGATATCCCTGAAATTGACAATTTTCACGTAAAACAAAGTCAAACGAACATCAAAAAATACTTTTACTTCAACATTTTTCACATGAAAAATTTATACAATCAAACACAATAATTTACAATTTCCATAAAAACAATTTCTAGGTAATTCAATTCCCTGGAATTCATTTTCTTTCCATGTAATTTTCCTACTTGTAATCAAACGCACCCTTAATTCTACTCATAAATCGCACTAGTGAGCCTCCAAGCAAGCGAAAGAGTTCGAGGTCGTATTCATGCATCTCATTCTTTGTGACATTGACTGTATCTTGAAACAACATACAACATTGTTACAATCCAAGAACATGTCAAAAGTATTCGTAATTTTAATATGGAGCTTTCAAACATGCAAAAGCGTTGAGGTAATGGCTATAAATTCTTCATACAATTCACGACAGCATCAGTGTCCAGGTAACAAAGGTGTCATTGTTGCCGTCTTAAAGCAAACCAAAAGTAACTTTTATAAAAGAAAAATGAATTCTCTAAATTGAAAAAGATTATTTATTCTAAAATATCAAACATGCCATACTTAATATACGCAATGTATAAATTAATTATAAAAAACTAAACGAGCTTTAAAGATGACGCTTGACATTTTCTATTATCGGGTCAAAAACTAAGGATGCTCGAGTGAAACCCTGACGCTCCAAGGATGGTAGGCTTCAGTTATTGGGGTTGAGTATCTTCTTTTGACCTTGTCTAATGACCCAAGAGCGATTTACAATAGTGCAGTACATTTTATACTTAAATCTACTATCAACACCATGCAACAAAAACTCTAATTTTGGGCGCGAAAGCTCCAATACTACTTGTTGATTCCAAACCGAATTGTAAAGAATGAAATTCGATGACAATATCACACCACATAACAAGTTTTAAAGTAAAGAAGAACGAAAAGGGTTAATCGATGTTTATTACTGAATAATGTGGAGAAAACAAGTACAACTTAACAAAATTACTTCTCACGAAATTTATAGAAGAGCCTCATATTTATAGGGAAAAATCAATTCATAGAAGTAGAGTTGTAGATGAAATGTAATGTTTAAAAGTTTCCTTATTTGAACTCATCAAATCCAATTCAAATTCCAACTCCCAACGGACTTAAAAGTAATTTTAAAATAAAATTTGACAATTAAACTTGAATAGGACTCATCAAAGCATTCCAACTAGAATTCCTCTTGATGTGCACCTCAATTAGAATTCTAAAATTATTTCAACAAAAGAATTCCATTTATCGCAAAATTCTAACAATCTCCACCTTGACACGAATTTCGGTGCAACCAAACGAAACTCTTAAATTTCAAATCCTTGTGCATTGAAATGAACTGGCCAGTATCCTCAACTAAGTAACCAAACACTCCATATAAACCAAAATAATCGTCCTCTGCTCGGCGTCCACAAGCGACACCTGAACCCAATCCTAGGGTTCCCAAAATTTCTCCTTGAAATTAATGTTGATCACACAAGGTCAAAGCATGCCCTGTAGCAATAATCAAACCATGCGCTTGATCAGAATGTCCTTTGTCGAAACTGTCGCCTTCAATGTCCCTAGAAGCATCTCAGACATTACTAACACCACGGTACCTATGCTCAATGAATCCAACCCCGGCAACTAAACACGGTATACCCGTTGAAATTGGTGGCAAAGCGGAATCATCAAACTTTCCCAAGCAGTGTTCTGAAGCGACTCAAAGCCCAACACAGGAAGTACTGTACCAAACTGAACTTCCACCATGGCACTAAACTTGTCCAAATGTCTCATCTTAATTGATTCTGCACTCCCCTGCAAAATGTACAACTAGGATCTTCTTGGTCCCTCCAGTACAACCCGGACTCTCTTTCAAACTTTTAAGACTCCACCTCCTCCAGAAAATATATACCATTTTGCATCCAGGGCACTCAGCGAGATGAGATTCCTCTTCAGATCTGGAACATGTCAAACCTAGCCAAGTGTTCTGATCGTCACATCCTGCGACCGCAATCAAATTCGATCGATTCCAGCAATAGGCAAGATCGGTTGTTTCCCATTACAACTCCACCTTGCTGAACAGCCTCATATGTCTAAAATAAATTTCCATCGGAATACATATGGTGTGAACGTGTCGAATCAATAATCCACTTCTCGTCAGGCCTAGATTCCACATTAGATACCACGATCAACATCACATCTTCGCCATCTGAAAAATCCTCAACTACATTAGTTTCGTCTGAAATCAAATCTCGCGCTCCACAATTTGTACCTAAATCACCTCTAGCTTGCAACACATCGCAATCCTTCCGAATATATCCCTTCCTTTTGCAGTAGTAACAATACACATTGCTAGAGTTGACTTTCGATCCGTCTGTACATCGACCACCTTGAGATACAAGAGCTTTCCGATCCCTTGATGTAGTTTCAACCAAATGCTTCATCTCTTCTTTGAGTCCAAGGCATCATAGATATCGTCTAAAGTCAAAGTATCTCGACTATACAATATGGTGTCCCGAAACGACGCATAAGAACTAGACAGCGGATGCAATAGGAACAAGGCAAGATCCTTTTCATCGTGCTTAGCCTCCAACGTTTCCAAATCTACAACTATTTCCTTGAACACGACAATGTGGTCTTCCAACGATCATCTTTTCACTATGCGATGGGAATACAACTTCTGCTTAAGAGTCAGTTTACTCGTAAGACTCTAGTCATACATAACTAATCTAGTCTCAACCACAAAGTAGCTGTCGTCTTCTCCTTCATGA